ATGGAAAAATCCCATTAAGTATTCTTTTTTTTTTTTTCCTTTTTGTCTTTTTTCGTGACCGGTAACGGGATCGCAACCCTCGGTGTTGCGCCTGCACCGCGCTCAACCAGTGAGTGGACCGGTCTCTATATGGGATCCGAACCCTTGGTGGGAGCGCCACTGCGCTCCCAAGCACCGCACTACCGAGTGCGCCACCAGGCTGGCCCCCATTAAGTATTCTAATCTACCCACATCTGCATACCTTATTCTGTTCCACTGAGGTTTTCTAAAAATAATTTAAGTGGTAGTGTTTTCTTCACTTCTGTAGGGAAAATAATCCATCTAAATACTTTTGCCTCAGAACATTATTTTATGTTCAATATGATTATCCCAGTAAAGCTTTTTTTCATTAGGGGCCGGCCCGGTGGCGCACTGCTACAGTGCGCCGCTTGGGAGCACGGCGGCGCTCCCGCCGAGGGTTCGGATCCCACATATAGACCGGCCGCTCAATGGCTGAGGGAGGTGCAGGTGCAACACCGAGGGTTGTGATCCCGTTGCCGGTCCCGGTCCGGTACGGGCGCGACACTGAGGGTTGCGATCCGTTGCCGGTCACAAAAAAAGACAAAAAGGGAAAAAAAAAAAAAAAAAGCCTTTTTTCATTAGTTCTAAGTGCAGTAAATTATTTGCATTCTATTTTTTAGGTATTGCTTACCCCTGAACTTCTGCTTAATTTAGCTAGGCACATTTTAGCATGCAAATGAGTTTTTCCCCAAAGAAGTGTTCTAAAAATAATATAGCCCCTTATTTTCTCCTCCCACAACTCTCTTTCATTATATCTTTCTTGTAGTTAATTCAACATAGAATGCTTAATAACGAAAGTTTAATAAAATAATCCAACCATGTAGGAATTGAAAAATACTCTCCTTAAAAACATTTGAATCAAAGAAGAAATAAAAACTGCAGTTGTACAACAGACAAAACTCAAAGGATGCAGCCGAAGATTTTCTTGGAGGAAAATGATTGGATTTAAAAACTTTTGTTATTAAAAAAAAGAATGAAAATTAATGAGCTATTAAACCTGGGAATTCAGGAACAAACCACCAAAGAAACAAACAACTACATGACATACCCAGGGAAAGCAAGTTAAAACATTTATTAACAAACAAAAACAAATTAAATCAGAAAAGAGAAAAATTATGAAGTTGATAAATCAATCCAAGACTGTTACTTTGAAGAAAAACCTTTGCCTATCTAATCACAAAAAGATAAAAACATAATTAATTCACAATGTTATGAATGAGAGAAGGAATAAAGAAGGGGTTTACCCACAGTATTAGTCCACTTTTGTGTCGTTGTAACACAATACTCAAGACTGGGTAATCTATAAAGAAAAGAGGTTTATTTGGCTCATGAATCTGGGGATTGCATCTGGTGTGGGCCTCAGGCTGCTTCCATGGCAGCAAGTGGCAGGGCAGCTGGCGGGTACAAAATCAAATGGCGAGAGGAAGCAAGAGAGACAGAGGGGAGGTTCCAGCACTGGTGGGAACTAATCCATTTTTGTGAGAGCTCTCCTTCACCCTCCCAACCCCTGCCAGGGCATTAATCTATTCATGAGGGGTCTGCCCCCATGACCCAAATACCTCCTAATACTGCCACTTTGGGGTTCAGATTTCAACATGAACTCTGAGGGGGACAAACATATCCAAACTGTATTACCCTCAGATAGGGATTAACAGATTGTAAGGATTTGAAAATCTGCAATAAGATAATTTGTAAAGAAAATAGATATCAAAATGAGATTTAGTGAAAAATGAAACATTGAATAAATCTGTAACCACATAAGAAATTGAAAGCATTATTAAGGAATTATTTCTATAAAAGGAAGTACCTATATTTGTTTCAAATAATAAATAATTTGTATGTTGAAAGCTTCTTTATTAATTGATGTAACCATAACTGTGATTAATTCACCTGATAGAAGTAGCACAAAAAGGTTAGTGCATGCCAATTTCTCTTAAAAGTATAGATGCAAAAAAAAAAAAAAAAAAGCAGCCCCAAAGCCAAACCAAAACAAACAAAAAAATGATGGCAGTTAAAAATACAAGCAATATTAAAACATCAATATACCAATTTCAAGTTTGTCATATACCAGGAATCCAAGACGTAAGAAATCTTTTGCTATTATTGATAATATTGGACTAGAGTGAAAAAGCAAATATTTTCCCAAATACATATTACAAAGGCATAACACTCATTTCTAATTTTTCATAATTGAAAATCTTATTAAGCTAGGAATGGGCCACTTCATAATGTGATAAAAAAGTATTAACATCAAACTCAATTTGAAATATTGGAATTGTTCCCATTAAAAGCAGGAGTTCAGGGGAAGAGAGGCTCAACATCATAAGCCATCAGGGAAATGCAAATCAAAATCACCATGAAGTACTGTCTCACACCTACTAGGATGACTATAATAAAAAAGAGAGATTATAACAAGCATTATGAGGATGTGGAGAAATTGGAATCCTGATATATTGGTGGCAGGAATGTAAAATAGTACTCATACAGCCACTTTGGAAGATGGTCCAGGAGTTCCTCAAAAGGTTAATCAGAAAGTTACCATAATACCCAGTAATTGCTAGGTACATACCCAAGAGAAATGAAAACATATGTCCATACAAAAGCTTGTATACAAATGATCTTAGCAGCATTATTTATAATAGCTAAAAGGTGGAAACAACCCAAATGTCTATCAGCTGACAAATGGATAAATAAAATGTGGTATACCCATATAATGGAATATTATTTGGCAATAAAAAGACAAGGTACTGATAGAGTCTACAAATAGCTGAACTTAGATTGAAACATAGATTGTAAACATGTTAAGTGAAAGAAACCAGTCAGAAAGTACGATGTATTTTATGACTCATTTATATCAAATGTTCAGAGAAGGCAAATCCATACAGCCAAAAGGTAGATTGAGAGTTTCTTGGGCTGGGATGGTTGAGGGAAAAAATGGGGGGAAGGGGGGAGTTTCTTTTGGGGGTAATGAAAACATTTTAAAATTGATTGTGGTGATGCTTGCACACTGATATGTACAATGCTGTGAATATACTAAAACATCATTGAGTAGTACACTTTTAATGGGTGAATTGTATGGTATGTGAATTATATGTCAATAAAGCTGTTATTAAAAAATTAAAAACAATGCTAGGGTGACTTCTGTCACCATGTTATGTATTATTACTCTGAAGTTTCTAGTTAATGCCATTAAGCAAGGGGAAAAAAAAGATATAAATACAGGAAAGGAAGCAACAAATTATTACAGAAAATATTCCTGTCTACTCAGAATATTCAAGAGACTTTATTGAAAAAGTGATTAGAATGAATAAAAAAGTTTGGCAAAGAGGCAGTTATGAAACACACAAACAAAACCTGAGATATGGGCTACTATACTTAGTATATAAACAGTTCTTATAAGTATATAAGAAATGGTGATCCCAGTAGGAAAGTAAACCAATGATATGAGACCATTTACAAAAGAGATACCTTGATGGATAATCGTGTGAAAGAATGTGTAGCATGTCAGTAGCAAAATAAATACTTTTAACAACCGTAAGTTGGTAGATGAGGAGCACTATTATTGAATGAACATCTTTAACATAAATAACATTCACACAGCTTCAGGAATTTTGCAACACCCCAGGGTACTTTGTGTGACTGAAAAATATTTATAATACCTAATTCTTTGTTTACCTCAGTAGATCTCTGGAAATTGGGAACAAGTGGGATGGGGCTCTCTAGAACTATTCTAGAAGGCTGGTTTGACTCTAAGGGCTTAGAGGACACTGAGGCAATAGAATGTCTTCAGTGCTGTTTACTCTTGGTGTCCTGAGGAATATTCATTAGGTCTGCTCCTCCCCTGGGTCTTCCATGGAGCAGATGAGCAGTCTGGGGTTCCCAAACTATAGCAGGACCACTACTTCTATGTTAAACTGAAGAATAGAGCATATATGATGTGTTAGTCCCTATGCTGCTTCATAGAAGCAAATACCATCCTGACTTGAGGGATGAGGGTTGAGCCAACTTTGCTCTGTAGATGTCTGATCCTTGGCAATCGTAGGATTGCTATGCCCTGTGGTCATTACAGGAGTATTCATCTGGTGGCTATGGTGGCTCTGTCTTTAGAGCCATCATTGTTTCACTTTTCACTTTCAATCTGTACAGATTGTCTTGTCATTTCCATTATATTGCATGTTGGAATGATCCCAGAGCACATGCCCTTGGAATTGCTCTGCATGTAAGAGATGTATGCTTGATAAAACTTGTCTCCAGAAATCTCTTCTGACAGTTTGAATTTTAGCTCAGTGGGGAGAATTCCATTCAATAGAAAGATTTTATTATAAGCGAATGCGATTTTAAATTGGTAGGTGTTCCTTGTATAGATTTCTCTGATACTTTTTTTTCCCACATGTACAAGGGGCCTTCAAAAAGTTCATGGAAAGCTTTGCATTATCTTTTAATTCCATTTTTCCACGAACTTTTTGAAGTACTCCCAAATATTTGTATTTCCTACCAGTTTATGTGGAAGCAAACAGCCTTAAAGCCATTTAGGCAGCTTAGAAACACATAGGAAAACATGCTGTTTCCTTTTTCCTAGAGTGTATTCATACGTAGTCATTGTGTGAACTCAGAACTTTAATGCATACACTTTCTGCTTTAACTTGGAAGTATAATTACAATAAAAATGCTGTCCTATTTAAAAATCAGGGGATATTCTTAAAGAATAGGGTCTACAAATCTTTTGTGGTACATTTAGAGTCATATTTTAGTGGTTGATGAACTTTTATCTTTTGAGGCACAGAATCATTTTGAGATCTAATTAATTTAAGGGAGCATGTTTTGGTTTTATTGAGAGAATTCTCAAAATTATATTTTGGAGTATTAGATTACTTAATATTTATTTTGTATATAGTCTTTTTGGTTTACTATAACTCTTTCCATTAAACTGATTTCTCTAGGTTGAAAATGTCCGCTTGGTAGATCGAGTATCTTCTAAAAAAGCAGCCCTAGGTACTTTGTATTTGACGGCTACTCATGTAATATTTGTGGAAAATGCACCTGACACAAGAAAAGAAACATGGGTATGCTTTCCTTATTTTTGGCTTTATGTGTTTTGCATTGTTTGAAGTAAAATGTTTTGATCATTCTTTTATTTGTCCTCCAGGTAAGGTGGGTGGGCTTTTGGTGTTTGGATGTTCAGACTACTGCTTCCGGAATGTATGCTTTGCCTTTTTCTGTACAGATCTATATATTCATTTTAAACACTAATTATTTGAACATCATCAGACCTAGAAATAGCCAGGAGATACAAGTGCTTCGTATCACAGCTATCAAGTAGCGATTCAATAATGTCAGCATGCCAGATACAGCATTTTCATAGAACTTTATTTGCAATACGCTTTATTCATAGGATCCTGTATTGCAGCCATTCCTGTCATTTTATTAAGTTTTGTCTCCACTTTCCTGATAATTTAAAAAATAAAAGAAGAAAAGCTAGAGAAGAATTCCATCATCTTCTTTTATATAGCAACCCAACCATAAAACTATGACTGGAACCAGAATCCCTGGATTATAGATTTTCCTCTTTGCATATTCCGTGGACAGTGTTATGTTCTTAGCAGAGGTGGCAGGCACTACTTAGTGGAGAGAAAACTTAAAAAACAAAGTGCGGCCATTGAAGAGTGATCAGAGATCCTCCTGAAATGCCAGAGAGATGTGCTTCAGCATGATTTTCTTAAATTTCTTCCTTAGAGAGTAGAATGACGGTTACCAGAGGCTGGGGGTTTGGGGGGATAGGGAAGGAGGGAATAGGAAGTTGTTGATCAAAAGGTACAAAGTTTCAGACCAGACAGGAGAAATAAGTTTTGAGATCTGTTGCACAGCAGGGTGATTATAGTCAATAATAATGTATATTTCAAAATAATTAAGAGTAAATTTTAAATGTCTCACCATAAAAAAGGATAGGTAAGAGAAACTATAGATGTTAATTAGCTTGATGTAATCATTCCACATTGTATCCCATAAATGTATATAATTATGATCAGAATATCACATTGTATCCCATAAATGTATATAATTATGAATTGTTAATTAACAGTAATATTAATAAAAAACTTTAAAAATAAAATAAATGTATTCTTCTGCAGCCTGCCCGACCACCAACAGCTTAGAAAACAACAGTCCCAAGTTGCTTTTGAACTTGAGCATTCCATGTGGAATTAAGGAGCATGGTGGCACCTCCCAGCGGAGCCATATCCAACTTTTGTTGGTTCCAAAAGTTTATATAACTTCTCATGACCTTATTTAATTTTAGCTATTAAGTGCATCCAACATTTGACTACCAAAATGTTGCCATACCTGGTCTTGTGCAGATTTATATGCCGAATAGTTTGCTTCAAAATAATTATCCTGAATATTAGAATGCTTGGTATTGAAAAATAAAATTATAAATTTAGACAGTTGACTCTTAGTCGGAACATCTCATTTCTTGTCATCTGAGTGCAGATGTTGAGCTAGCTGAAGGTTGGGGAGTGTTTCTTGTCTATCTGTGTAGCTCAGAAACTTGTGTTAGTCCTTGTGATATTTGCTAGTTGTTTGTGCTTAGCTTACCCAAATTAACTTTTGATTCTAGATTCTTCACAGTCAGATTTCCACCATTGAAAAACAGGCAACAACTGCTACTGGATGCCCTCTGCTTATTCGCTGCAAGAACTTTCAGATAATACAGTTCATCATACCGCAGGAAAGAGATTGCCACGATGTGTACATCTCTCTGATACGCCTTGCAAGGCCAGGTAGGGCAGAGGAACTTGGGATTTAATATAGCCCCACTCTTAAGAAATTCACAAATCATGTGCAAAAATTTGTATAGTGCTTAGGAAATGGAGTGTTTTAGGAATTGTAGGTCATCCTAGTCCTCACATGAGGCCCAGGTAGTTTGAATGGTCACCTGATATATACTTCCTTGTCTTTTAGAATCTCCCCTGAGTTATTTATTATATGGGCCTTTTTCATTAATGTTAGTATTCAGTTCATCTTAGTGGGGGTTATAGTGTGTTTTACTTTTTTGGTGAAATCACCTTAGAATTATGCCCTTCTGTTGCTGTGGTAATTGAGCCACCTTGATTGAGGCCTAAGACAGAACTGACAGTTTGTTTTGTGTGGAATACGTTGTTATCAAGAGTTCCAGCACAGTTCTCCCCCTCTTAGGGCCTTTAAGCTTTGGTCTCCATTGCTTTTTGATAGTAAATATATATTTTCCAAGGTTGGTATAGCTACACTTTTGTAAGCATTGGTGAATATTCAGAGTGTGGATATCTTGATTCTCCTTAAGTGATGGGAAGAATGTTTGGATTTTAAAAATGTCTTCTCTCAGTTACTATCTTGTCCTATTCTTCATCTCAGGATCTTCAGATTTATATCTTATAATTTACTTTTACAGAAGTGTTTCTTGTCTCTCTGTGTGGCTTGTGTGAATTGTGGTGTTCTTTTGCTTAAAAGAAATATACCTCCAAGTTTCTTGGAGAATACAGTGAAAAGAGATCATTTATAAGGGATCATTAATAAGGGAAACAGAAAAGAGATCATTTATAATAGGTGATTAATAAGGGAAATAGGATATGTACTTATAGTTACTTTGCCAAATACTTTCTGATTCAGGAAAAAAGTTTGATTATAAACTTTTCAAGGTGTTCAGTTGGGTTCTGAATTTTTTATGATATGATTATATCATTTGTAGGTAGCTAAGAGCTAAAGTTATATAATGGAAAAGATGCCAGGCAGCTGTCAAAATTGGATAATTCTGACTTTGCTTCCTTTTCCAGGCAGTTGGTTGAGGCTTTTTCATCTAAGTGTGTTAAAAAGAACAGCAGAGTAAGCCAGAAAAGCAGTTGAACTTTTTGGAGGGTGCACTATAATTGGAACAGAAGTTCTGGGAAGATGTACATTAGGTTGCACGCAGCAGAGTGAGGAGACTTGTGCGCCAGCAATTTCTGTGTCACTGATTAATGGATATACTGGGTAATAAATGTGTTCTGACCAGATTAATGGGATTTAGGAATAGCCCAGAGAGCTGGGAAAAGGCTGAGCAGCTGGAAGATCACAGTGACGGTGAGGGCTGTGGCCCTGTGACAGCAAGCACCAAGAGTCTCACTATGAGGGTCCCTAGGAAGGAAAATCACTGTGTTCCCTCACTTTTAAATATATATGCTTTCTTTAAAAAGATGAAGTTTTGAAGAGTTGTGTATTAGTTGTAGCCAGAGATCTGACTGGCTACCTTTTCCAAAAAAGGAAATATAGTAATTAATTGAATTAAAGCCATCACCTAAGAGGATTTAAAAAGTCACCAGAATTTTGAAACGTTGGCATTAGAAATGGCTGTTTCCATAAAATGTAGTGCTTTAAATAAGTGTGGGAAGATGAAATAAAACCCAAGCAATTTCATAGTTTAATGTTAAAGGCAATGCTAAAATTAGGACATAGTATAGGCTATAACTTTGGAAGCAGGGTTTTGAATCTGGGTGGAGATGGAGAGAGGTGGGGGAGGTGGTCAGATGTGAAATACTGCCTCTAAGATGCAGGTAGGGGTGGTTTATCAGAACCATCCAAGGATAGTTTGCAAAATACACCTTCACCCTCCTTGAGGTATATCAGAGTAAAGGGGTGTGTGTGTGTGTGTGTGTGTGTCTGTGTGTGTGTGTGTGGTCAGTAAGGGAAGTGTACTTTGAATTCTAGTAGTATGATATTGGTCTCTCTGGTTATTCTGGTTAGTTACCAACATGAATCACACATTTTCAGCTCCCCTTATGGACACAGATAACTGCAAGGTCCTATAGAAGACATTTTTTTTTTTTTTTTTTTTTTTACAAAAAAGAGATTAGGGAGTCCATTTAAGTGAAGGTCTATGACAGAGATATTTTGAAGGCTCTCATGATTCTCTCTTTACTGAATTAAGATTTCTGGGATAGGGTAAATCAAATTACTAAAAAATTGGGAGAGATTTTTTTTGTTTGCTATTTGTGTGAATATTCATTGGTAAGAATTTGGTCATGGACCATAAAAGATGCTAGTAAAAAATCATGTGGCTAAGCAGCAACCACCAAGCTGCCACAGGAAGCACACTGGGCTCTCCTGACTCAGGGCGATGGGGGGACCTCAGGCTTTGGCCACATCCCCTCAACACCCGCAGCTAGCCCAGAGGTGACCACTGTGCCGCCAAAGGAAGCGCCCTGGGCTCACCTGAGCCAGGGCAGTGGGGGGCCAAGGGCCTTGGCCACGACCCCCCAGCATGTGCAACCAGCCCAGTGATGACGACCAAGCTGCAACAAGAAAGGCCCTAGGTTCCTGAGCTGGGATGGTGGGGGGTGAGGGCTCTTCCCATACCCCCCGACATCTGCACACAGACTGGCAATGACCAAGCCACCGCTGGAAAGCACCCCCAGTCTCTCCTGTGGGAATGAAGGGGGTGCCACGTGCCTCAATCCCACCCCTCCTCATTCCTCCTTCCCATTTCCTTTCCCTTTGCCTTCTCCCCCTCCTTCCCAGCTGCTCTGCAGCAAGATCCCAGAATGTAAAAATAATATTAATAAAATTACATTTTCTTTTAAAAAAAAGGAAAAAAATAATGTGGCTAAATTCAGTAAACTCTTTAATTCTTAATGAAGAAATAAATTAGGTTAAAATAAAGGTTGTCACCCAAATGAGAAAATAAGTTAACTCTGTAGATGCAATGTACTAATAAGGATATAAGATTTTCTGATTAAAAGACTCCTGTTTCTCAGAAGGCTTCCACTTTTCCCATGTTCTCTCTTTTCTCCTCCCTCTAATTTGCCTCCTGCTGTTTGTTTTTGTAGCAATTATCTTTCCCTCTTTAGTGTTTGTGGGCTCTTCAACATTTAAATAATTTCTTTTGTCTATTTTCCCATTTTTACTAAACTACAGATTTTTTTAGTTCATCTTAGTCTCCATTCTTTTGCTATTTATTATGATTTTTGAAATCTCATGATTGAGGTAGTCTCATTTGCTTAATTTGTAACTTTTTTTACAGTGCTTATCTAAGTAATTTATGACATTGATTGATTATAATTTATAATTTGTAACTTTTTACAATCCTTATGGCACTGATGTTTAAGCAATATTTACAGTGGTAGTTTCTTTTTTAATCAGTGATACTAATCTGAGCCTAGTAGTCCTTTTCCATTGTGTTAGCTTTAACAAGCCTAATGTTTAATTCAAACACTTGTTTGTTTAAGATAGACAGCAAAGATGAGGCACCCTCTTTATTTTTATTTTAAATATGCAAAATCCAGTAATAGCTGTGTTATCTTCTCTCCGCTTTCTAAATGATCTTTCAACTACATTTATTTTCAGTTGCCTGAATTCTGCAGAATGCTCAGAGTAATTTAGTTTTCAGTAGTTACTTTTGGTTCTAAAAAACCCATATTTCTGTGTCCTTCTGATGACAGTTAGTGTCTTTTCCCTGTTCTTACTCACCCTTCACATTCTGCTGTTGCTGATTTATGTTTGTTTTTCTTTAGATTTTTAAAATACTTTTGATTTTTATGCTAAATTACTTATTGTTTCTCCCAGTTCATCTATAATGAGAGGCAATTCCCCCAAATTTTTTTCCTAAATATTCTGTTTTCATAACCTTTAGCCTGATACCTGGGAAACAAACTAGGTTATTTTCCTTTCTTCCCTAATGCTTTGGTTTCCCAAAAGCATCTCTCTTTGGCAGAATGAATATGCTTTCCTTTATATGGGAGGAAAGGAGCAAAGGTTGGGTGCAAATATAGGCTCATTTGCAGGCTTGGTAGTTCCAAGTTGAGAGTTTCCACTTGATGCCTGGTGTCCTCTCTGGGAAGTAGGAAGTGGGATTACCTGAGAGTGAAGGAGTTGGTGAGAGCAATAGAGACTGAACTGGGTTTTAGTGATGTGCTTCCCTAGGATAAGGAGAGTGCAGTAAACAAAAGTACTAAAATAAAATAAGTCAAAACATGCATCTCTGTGCTTGGGTCGAGCTCATACTTTTGACTGGAACACTGATTTGGTTTTCCTAGAAATATAGCGAAGATGTTACTCCTTTCTAATTTCATGTAGTATTTTAGAAATTGTCATTTTGCTTTCTGAATAGATAGAAAAACATTTAAGTCTGCCTTTCTTTAGCTATTTACATGATTTATGTAGGTAATATATGATAAAGGAAATACTAAGATGATTTCCATATAACTTTTTCTGAATTGTTTTTTAATTAAAGGTGCACATTCAGTTTACTCCCACAGTCAAAGGCAAGTTGAATATTAGCTCTTGGGCCCTCCTACTAATGGGCCCTTTAGAGTGAGGCCTTCAGTACACCTCCTGTTGAAACCTGCTGGTTGCCAGCAGAAGAAGATGTTTTCTGTTGGATATGATGGTTCAGACTTTGTGTCTGTTTTTAGAGTGGGGGAAAAATCAACTGAGGGATATGACTTTTCTAGAGCAGGCAAATATTTTCTCTTAGTTCAGATTCTATAAAGATGAAAGGTTTCTCTAGCCCTAGGCTTTTTAAAAAAATTTTTAAAACTACTTCCTTGCTGATTGCTAAAAATTCTGCTACATATTTTGTAGGAGGTGTTGGGTGTTGGGGGGCTGGAATGGATGAGAGGAACAGAACATTATGAGATAGGAAATATTCAGTAAAATTTACATCTGTGCTAATGGTACTTTTTAATTTCTCAGAGTAGGTGCTCCCCAAGCTTCTCAAAGTAGGCACTCCACAAGCTTTTAACCCAGAGCACATTAACAAGACTGAATTTTGGCTGGCAAAAATGGGGGTTTCCTTGCCCCTATGTAGAATTTTACTTAACTTGGGCCTGAGGATTGGTTGATCACCCAATTCCTTAAAAATATCTGAAGGAAAAAATTTCATAATTTCAGTGTCAACCCATTTTTATGTCTCCTAATTCAAGAGTGACCTTCCTAATGTCTACTATATAATAATTCTTGCTTTGTGTACATTTTCATTGCCTCTTCCTAATGGAAACAGGCATCAGTCCACACATACAAAACTATCAGCAGTCATAGAATGTTTTTTCTTCTACCTTTATATCTATTTGTAAATAGTTAACAAAGCCAACTTAACTTCCATTATTAACCCATATTCATTAGCTCTTCTTTCACTGAGGGAACTGAGGCTTTCTCAAGAAATTCTTTTGGCATCTTAAACAAACTGCATTTGTGGTTGACATTATGGTAGGAGAAGCCTGAGTCATGAAAATGGTACTTAGAGATGGAAAAGATATCAGTGTCGAGCCAGCTGTTCCCAGCACAGGATCTCAATTTGGTGTGCCGTCTGCCCAATAAGCTAAAGTTGCAAGAAATGTCTGAAAGTGTCTCCTTGTGTTTGTGTGTGCATGTACCTGTATGTATGTATTTTTTTTATTTGTACAAACAGCCAGTATTGTAAGTTTTGAAGTTTGGAAATATGACATCAGTAGAGACTGAAATAGCACATAATTTATCTCACTGACACACCAGTCATGGCGCTTTCACAAGAAAGAATACCATCTAATGAAAAAAATCTGGTACTTAAAATATGACCCTTTTCTTCTTCCGTGTGGATGAGTCATCTCAATAGTAATCAAAACAAGTTTGAAACTGAGTTTTAATCTCAGGCTCCCTGTGTGTTAACTGCAACCTCTTGCAGGTGGTGAGATCCTTTACAGGGCCTTCAAATATACACGTTGAGGAGCATTAAATTATCCACAGTGAATGCCATCAGCAGGCTAAGGAATAAATGGGGGAACCTAAGAAAACTGTAAGGAAATAGAAATGTACTGGAGAGAATCAGTAAGATTTGAGGAGTGGAACAAGGAAAGAAAAGGTAGAAGAGGGAAAGATCTGCCTTGGGGAGCAGTGTGTGTTGAGATTAGGATATTGCACTCTGAAGCCAGATTGCCTCATTTCTGTCTGGACTCCCCATTTACTAGCTGTGTGACCCTGGGTGAGGGATTGTTCGTCAACCTACCCTTGCCTCAGATTCCTCAACTGTAAATGAGGATCATCATGGTGCCTAGTAACTGGACTAATACATTTAATTAGAACAGAGTCTGGAATGAAACAAGGGCTCGGTGAATATCAGCCATTGTTTACTATCACCAGAAATGCTTAGATCTGCACTGCTTAATATGGTAGCCACAGGCCACAGGTGGCTCTTGAACACTTGAAATGTGGCGACTCTGAACTGAGATGAGCCATCAAGTGTAAAATTCACTTGGCGTTTCAAAGACAGTGCAAAACAAAATGCATAAAATATTAATTAAGAGTTTTATATTGTGTATATGTTGAAAGGATAGTATTTGGATATATTGGGTTAAATAAAATATATTATTATTATTTTTTTTTTTTTTCCTTTTTTGTCTTTTTTCGTGACCGGCAACGGATCGCAACCCTCAGTGTCGCGCCCGTACCGGACCGGGACCGGCAACGGGATCGCAACCCTCGGTGTTGCTCCCGCACCTCGCTCAGCCAGTGAGCGGCTGGTCTGTATGTGGGATCCGAACCCTCGGCGGGAGCGCCGCCATGCTCCCAAGCGGCACACTGTAGGAGTGCGCCACTGGGCCGGCCCAAATAAAATATATTATTAATTTCACTTTTTCTTTTTACTTTTTTAATGTAGCTACAAGGACATTTAAAATGACATAGTGGCTTGCATTATATTTCCGATGGACAGCACTAGTCTAGATACTTCCTTTAAATGGCAAGACCAGAGCAAATCCTAGATTTTATTGTAGGGAGAGGAACAGTGGGGCTATTGGGCTTGGCCTCACAAGCATAAAAGGCAATATACAAAGACAGAGGTAACATGACAGAATGGAAAGACGGTCATGATAACTTTTTCAACTTGAATCCATAACTGGGGTGCTGTGCACTATGAATTGGTATACTTTTATGAATCCTATAAATACTTGTAAGCAGCACAATTATGATATTTATGTAGTTGTTAAAAGTTCAGATGTTTTCAATGCAAACCTTTATTATAATTCCCAAACAGCTTTTGCAACTGTTTTGTAATTTCTTCTTTTTTAATTCTGTGGGCATCAAAACATGGAAATGGCCTGGGCCTCTGTCTACCAGAGAGAGGCCATCTCAAATGTATATATATAAACATACATATACACATAAAAAATTGAATTCTTGATGTCTGATGAATGCATGCATTCTTAATTAATTTTAATTTTTGTGCTTCATATTTTATGTGGTCTGGAAAATATATTTGCTTTTATTTATTTTTTATTTTTATTTTTATTTTTTTTTCCTTTTTTGTCTTTTTTTGTGACCAGAAACGGGATCGCAACCCTCGGTGTCGCGCCCACACCGTGCTCAACCAGTGAGCAGACCGGTCTCTATATGGGATCCGAACCCTCGGCGGGAGCGCCGCCACGCTCCCAAGCACTGCACTCTACCGAGTGCGCCACCGGGCCGGCCCTATATTTGCTTTTAAAGCAATGAAAAAAAACAAAAAAACAAAACAAAACAAAAAAAAACTAAAGCACAAAATGGAGAAGGCCCTCTTTTCTAAAAGGGAAGAAGCTCTTGCAAAGTTAGGTCGAGATGCTCAAGGTCTTCTTGTCATTGCTGGGGGGAGATAGGTGACCTTGTTCACAGAGACAGCGTGCTCCAGGGAGTGTGCCAAGGGTGGGGGGCTGGGATGGTCTCTCGGTGTACACCAGCTGGGACAATGTTATTGAGGAGTTTGGTTCTGGCTTTGACTTAGCTTGATTTGGCTTTATTTTCCCTTTTCTCACAGTAAAATATGAGGAGTTATACTGCTTTTCATTCAACCCAAAGCTGGATAAGGAAGAGAGAGAGCAAGGCTGGATGCTGATCGACCTTAGTGAAGAATACAAGCGAATGGGCCTCCCTAATAATTATTGGCAGCTCAGCGATGTGAATAGAGACTACAGGGTGAGTGTGGGCATTTAATGAAATCCAAATACTTAATCCACATGAAATCATGATTCCAGACAGCTTAGCATGACTATTTTATCTCCTTTAGATTTTATAGCTCTTTGCAGATATAAATGTGTGGGTCTCTAAGTCTCCCCTGGTTATTGCTGGTTATATTCTCTACGCACACCTAGAATCAGAAAGTTTGAACAAGAGAACCTTAGAGACCATCCCCTCCACACCCTTCTCTAGTGGTTGAGGAATTGGAAACCTAGAGATGTCCAGCGGCAGACCTTGTGGCTAGACAGTTGGTGGGAGAGCAGGCGAGGACTTCATTCTCCCATAAATTCTTTTTATAGTTCAGTGAGTGGGGAAGCCAGAGAGACTCTGATGGCAGTTTGGCACCAGCTCCTGTATGTGTTCACTGAACTCTTGATTGGTACACAAGGTCACCAAGAGGCTTCCCTAGAGAAATGTGGAGAAATGTGTCTACACTTACAGGAAGGAAAATGGAGAGGAAGGGAAACAGGAGTGGCAGGATTATCCCATATTCTCCCTACTGATGGGCTTACAAATCAGTGTTGGGTTCACTATTAACTGTTAAAATATTTTAAATAATTAAAGCAATGGAAGAACATTCCAGAGAGTTTGCAAAAGAAAAAATTAAAAAAAACCCACCATCCCATTGCTCTTAACATTCTTTTTTAAAAAATTTTCTTTTTTTTTTCTCATTGACAGTTTGACAACTTTTTTCTTATATAAGTAATACATATTCATTGTTGAAAATTGGAAAATATAGAGAAAAGTATATTAAAGTCCCCTAATAATGCCATCATCCACAATATCCACTGTTAATATGTTTGGCAAATAGTCATCCAGAATTTTAACATGTATATTAATTTTTGTGTATCCATGCATATACCTATTCAAATATACATAACAAAAATGGAATCATGTTACATGTGCCTTGTGTTCTGCTTTTCTCCTTGTAACGTATTAAGAGTATTTTCCTGGCAATAATATTTTATAATATCTTTTCTGAACATTACACAATATTACTAAGTATGGCTATATCAAATTCATTCTATCTACTCCAGTTTTTAGATGTTTAGATTATCATTATTTTTTACTGTTTTAAATAACAAAGAACATGCTGATAGATATACCTTTGCCCACGTTTTATTTATTTATTTATTTTTTTCTTTTTTACTGACCGGTAATGGGATCGCAACCCTCGGTGTTGCGCCCGCACCGCGCTTAGCCAGTGAGCGGGAACTGGTCACCACATGGGATCCGAACCCTTGGCGGGAGCGCCGCTGCACTCCCAAGCAGCGCACTCTCCAGTGCGCCACCGGGCCGGCCCCACGTTTTATTTTTTTTAAAAGATAAATCCCTAAAGGTGGTATTTCTGTGTCAAATGGCTTACGTAAATTTTTGTACATATTATCAAAAAGGATTGTAGAAAGTTTGTACCAGTTTATATAAATTCTCAGCAGTTGTGAATGCTTGATTCCTTGTACCCTCACCAGTAAAGAGTTTATAATTTTTTTTTTTTTGTCTTTTTCCGTGTCCGGCAACGGATCGCAACCCTCAGTGTTGCCCCCGTACCGGACCGGGGACCGGCAACGGGATTGCAACCCTCGGCGTTGCTCCCGCGCCTCACTCAGCCAGTGAGCGGGAACCGGTCTGTATGTGGGATCCGAACCCTCGGGTGGGAGCGCTGCCACGCTTCCCAAGCGGCGCACTATCCAGTGCGCCACCGGGCCGGCCCAAGAGTTTATAAGTTTTAAAAAATTTTTTGACAACTTGATAGTGAGATAAGTGATCTCTCATTTAAATTTAATCTGCATGTCTTGATTTCTTGAATTATAACTTTTTATATGAAGGTGCTTCAAAAGATTCATGAAAAAATAGAATTGAAAGGTAATACAAATCTTTTTATGAGCTTTTGAAGTACCCTTGTATGGTGACTGACCATTTGTATCCTATCACCTGTTAATTGACCACTTCTGGTCACATATCTTGAATCTTGATTATTTTCTTGACCTTATAACAAGGATTGTCTACATTGCTGCATAGTATTCATATAAATCAATGAAATGACTGTATTCAGTCCATTAAATCAGTGTACCATAATGTACTTATTTCTCTATTAGTAGACATTTAGATTACTTGGGATTTTATTGCCATATGAATAATTCTGGATGTAAAATCTTTGTGTGTATAATTTTTTCTAATTTTAAATTATTTTGTAAGAATAAATTCCTAGAATCTGTCAAAGGCATAAAGGGTCTAAATTGTTCTTAAAATTTCAAGCAGGTAGGACATTGATATTTTTCCTTTTGATCAGTATTTAGTTGTTAATTTCTGTCCCGTTGAATTGCAATCAGTGCATGTAGCATATAGGATTAGAATTTGGGGGATTGTTTTGAAGATTTATGTCTTCATAAAATGTGCAACATTTAATTTTTATAAATATTTTGAGTCTGGAAAAATGTATATTCTCTGTAACTTGGGAATAGAATTACATATCTATGAAATTTCTTGTTATGGTCCTTTTGCTCAATTGATTTCTGACAGAGGTATGCAAAAAATTTCTCATGATTGTTGATTAGACATTTTCTCTTACAATTCTAAAAGTGTTTATATTATATGTTTTAAAGTAATCTTGCTTAGCACGTAATGATTTAGGACATTTGCTTGTTTTTTTTTTTTTAAATAAATTTCAAATATCTGTTTTTCCTGTGAATTTTTTTGACTTTGAATTCTATTTTGTGTGATCATATTTCTACTATTTTTTTTCTCTATGAAGTTTATTATTTTTTTATTGCAAAATAATTGATTAAATATACTTGTGGGGTACAGAGTTGAATATCAGTACCTGTGTACAATGTGTGATGATCAAATCAGGATAATTAGGATGTTTATCATTACAAAGTGTAATCATTCCTTGTGTCCATTAACCAATTTCTCGCTAACCTCCACCCCCTCCACTCCCCCTTTCCCACCTCTAGTAACCACAATTCTATTCTCTCCTTCTGAAAGTTCAATACATTATGTGATTGTCCTTCCTTCCTCCCTCCCGCCCTCCCTCCCTTCCTTTCTTCCTTTTCTTTTTGTTCCTGCTTATGAGTGAGGACATGAAGTAATTACATGAAGTAATTCTCTTTCTGTGCCTGGCTTGTCTCACTTAACATAATTTTCTCCAAGCTTGTCCATGTAGCTGCAAATGGCAGAATTTCATTCTTTTTACTGCTGAATACTATTCTATTGTGTATATATACTATTTTCCTTGTCCAGTTATCTGTTGTTGGACATTTAGATTGATTCCATATCTTGGCTACTGTAAATAGAACTGTGATAAAGATGGGAATGCAGGTATTCTTTCAACATGATGATTTCCATTCCTTTGGGTGTATACCCAGAAATGGGATTACTGGATTGTATGGTAGTTCTATCCATAGTTGTTTGAGAAACTGCAATACTGTTTTCTCATAATGGCTGCACTAATTTACAGTCCCACCAGCAGTGTATAAGGGTTCTCCTTTCTCCACATCCTTGCTAGCATTTGTTATTCTCTGTCTTTTTGATAATAACCAGTCTAACTGGGTTGAGATGATAAATCATGTGGTTTTGATTTGCATTTCTCTAATAATTAGTGATATTGAGCATTTTTTCATATACTTGTTGGCCATTTGTATGACTTCCTTTGAAAAGTGTCTATTCAGCTCCTTTGCCCATTTTTTAATCAGGTTATTTGGGTTTTTTTTACTAAGTTGTTTGATATCCTTGTGTATTCTGGATATTAATCTCTTATCAGATATATAGTTTGCAGATATTTTCTCCCATTCTGTAGGTTGTCATTTCACTTTGTTGTTTGTTTCTTTTGCTGTGCAGAAGCTTTTTAGTTTGATATAATCCCATTTGTTTATTTTTCCATTTGTTGCCTGTGCTTTCAAGGTCTTAACCATAAAGTCCAGTCCTACATCCTGAAGTGTTTCCCCTGTTTTCTCCTAGGAGTTTTATAGTTTCAGGACTTAAGTCTTTAGTCTGTTTTGAGTTGATTTTGGTAAATGGTAAGATGTATGGATCTTGTTTCATTCTTACACAGGGATATCCAGTTTTCTTAGCACCATTTGCTGAAGAGACTGTCCTTTCCCCAACGTATGTTCTTGGTGCTTTTGTCGAAGATAAATTGACTGTGGTCTTGTTGGTGCCCACACAAACGCAGTAGAATGCAAGCAGGGCCTGCAGACAAAGCGAGTCAGTCTTTCCTATAGTCTGGGGCAAGGCACACTCCAGCCTTAGGTTTGACCTCAAGACAGTGCTGCATCGCAGCTGCTCAAGGCAGGAGGGGTTTTCTTCTTCCTGGTCTTCCACTATGAGACTGTGCAGCCATACTAACTCCTAAATACTCTCCAAATAGTCCTGTGTCCTGAAAAGACTGGGGGAGTCTCTTGTGGCAGGGATTGCTGACATTTGTGGTGGGTGTGGAAACAGCTGGGGTCTTTTCCAGCTTACCTTCTTTCCACCTGATTCAGAGCTGGTCCCTGCGGCAGGGCAGAGGCTGAGTGCCCTGCTCTGCTCTCATGGTGTTGTTCCCACTTTCCCTGTTTCTACTATTTCTTTTTGTCAGAATTTGCTTGATGGAGCTCTATTTAATCCTTCATTTTCTTTTTTTTTTTTTTTTTCCTTTTTGTCTTTTTTCGTGTCCAGCAACGGACTGCAACCCTCAGTGTCGCGCCCGTACCGGACCAGGACCGGCAACGGGATCGCAACCCTCGGTGCTGCGCCCGCCCCTCGCTCAGCCAGTGAGCGGGAACCGGTCTGTATGTGGGATCCGAACCCTCGGCGGGAGCGCTGCCACACTCCCAAGCGGCGCACTGCTACAGTGCGCCACTGGGCCGGCCCTAATCCTTCATTTTCAACCTTGCTATCTGACTGTTTTGTCTTAAATTATGTATGGCTAGATTTTGTTTTTTACTCAAACTGAAAATCTCTTAATTTGATAAGTATTA